TTTTCTTTGATTTCATCGTTGTAGATATCAAACGCAGCACAATTAGTTAAAAACATACATTGCTTTATTAGACGTAGAACAGTTTTCACTCTGCTAATTCTTTGGGTTGTTCAAAATATTATGTCAGATGCAATTCCTTATTTTTACCTGAGGGATTTAAAGCTATTTCAACTACTCCCCTCTAGAAAACCTGTACGTCAAATAAGGTATTCCTGTACATTGCATGGCGATATTTATGGATAGAGGAAATAATAGTTGTGCAATTACCAATACTTGTCTCTTTGAGATGCTTTAATTCTGCGCCCTTTAAAGAAGCTCACTCTATCGCACTTGCGATATGCGGCTCTCTTAAAGTTGACAATGTCCTTCCAAAACCCTTCAATTCGCAGTGTCGATGTGCGAGGCTGTCATTCTATCTGTCAGCAGCTTTCTGTAGGCATCACATTCAAAATCTACTGTATAGATAAATCCCGCAGCATTAGTTTCACAGTATCAAAAATGCAACATCAATGAAGACATACGGTTGCCGTCGAACATTCATAAAATCCGTGACATAATATTCGTTTTCAGTTTGAATCCATCTCCGCCTTCTTCAAATGTTAAATGCAGCCGAGAGTTAGGTCGGCACCGGATCTCACTATCAAGTGGAGGTAGATCACCGCTACCTCCGGAGGAAAATACATGCACTACACTAATGACACTAATGTCCTTAGCAGTACACACGCCCAGAATCACTCACCAATGAGTAACTCGGAGAGGAAGGGAAAGGGTGAGGAGGGAACGATCATGGCCCATTGTCCATGGCCCACTGCTCCTGGTATCTGTCGGAGAAACCATCCCACCGGCTGAGATGACTCAAGGATTCAACTGATGTCACGTGAGTGCCCATGACCCGGAAGTCCTAGAGTTCGAGACATCGGTGGCTGGATTTCATAGCTAAGTCGAATTCAGCCTCTGCCTGGGGGAGAATTCTAGCGGTCGGCTGCTCTGATTGGTAGTTTTCCGTGGTGTCTCCAATCAACACGAGGCGAATACCAGAGTAGTACCCTAACAATCTACGCGCAATCTTTTGTTCTTCTTTGTCCTACCCTCACCTCTCACACACACATACACACGCACAGACACACACACTTTCATGCACCACTATACCACATATGTCGGAAGACCAGACGGTGACTTGAGGAGGCCCTAGACCAGGGATTTGCAAAGTTTTCATTCATCGACCCCTTTGAAAAGAGTTGTTTGCTCCATCGCCCTCATTATGTTATTCTCTCTAATATATAACATACATGATCATTATAACATTACATGAGAATTTCACGTAATAGATGACAATTTCGTACACCAGTATTTTTAATATATATCTAGAATTTCAATCGAAGACGCCTCCACTACTGAGTAACCGAGTTTCTACTCTCCATTTTGTGCAATGGTTACAAAATGCTGAGCGTTTTCAATTGGCCTAAACATTTCTTCAATCCATATTCCATGGAGTATTTTCTTTCGCTATATAGTATCGTTGTGTAGAAATAGTTACCATTTGTTGGGTTTTCTAAACATCCTAAGCAGTTGTGTAACTACGTTTTCCTTGATACTTACCTTGATCATCATTGACCCCTTTGAAAATTTTATCGACCCTCAAGGGGTCGATATCGACACCGAAGGTAACCCCTGCCATAGACGGTCAATCATTTTGATCAAAAGCTAGAGTCAATCGCTTGAATCAAGCATGATAGATCGTCTAGGAACCCATTTGAAACTTGAGCCAAGCGTTGGCGGAGATTGACAGTAAGTGTGAATGGCTCAAGCGGTTGGCGAGGGAGCTCGACCGTTTAGGCCAATTTTGATCAAGCGTTGCGTGAGTGACTCGCCGGCAACCGTGGAGAACACATTGCTCCCCGAAAATTGAAAATTTTAAAAATAAAGTCATGTAGTGCTTCTGAGAGTTAGGAGAGCGAGTTTATCATCCTGCTGATAGAGTTGTATATGGATTTCCCTCAATGTGATGGAAAGTCTCCGAGTTGCAGAAATCGATTCAGGCATATTTGTATCCCTCTTCTCTGTTTGGGGTCGTACTAACTTTAGTAAATAATCAAAGCCCTCTTGGACGATTCTAATGAAGTCCCTGTATTCTTCATGTTCCATGTCGCGTAAGAACGTTGAGTAACTTTTCATTAGTCTTCTTCTTCTTTCGAGTCGGCGACAGCTAAATTCTGTTTTGCAGGCAAGTAGAGAGAGCCAAGGCTCTCTGGTTTCCTAGGGCCAGGTCATCTCTGGATACACCATTAGGGCAGTCCGGGCAGGAAAGTAGATGTTCCATCGTCTTTTCAGCACCGCAGGAGCACATCACTGAGTCATTCTGGGCCAAGAATCCCCATTTTTTCATGTTGTATTTACATCTACCAACACCCGTACGCAGTCTGTTTAGGGATCTCCATATGGTCCACGGTTGTTCGGAACCCCGAGGCAGGGACTCGGAGGGTTTTATGAAGTGGCCTGATAGGCGGCATTTGTCCATCCACAGGTCAAGCCTTTCTTGCTCGGCTGGTTTCTGGAGAGGAGCATTGGTCTGAAGGAAACTTTTGCGGGAACGGAGCCTTCGGTGGGCGGGAGATTGGCCATGCAGTTTGTTGTTGACTTGTCGGCTTTCCGCTCTGCAGGAAATCTCCCGGCGGATTTTTGGAGGGGCGATGGCCGAAAGAACAGAGAGTTGTGGAATGGGTGTGATCTTGAAACAGTCGGTCACATGGCGGCAGGATTGATAAAAGGCGGTGTCAACCTTCTGGGCGTGGCGGGTTTATGCCAAACTGGGCAGGCATATTCACCTGCAGAGCAACAGGGCCAGAGCGGAGAGGTGGAGGACTCTGGGGTCAGCTCCCTAGTTATATCCAGACAATCTTCCGAGGACGTTGTTGCGGGTTTCAACTTTCATTTTGGTGTTAGTACAGTGTCTCTTGTATGTAAGGCTCCTGTCGAGAACGACACCAAGGTACCGGGGCCGGGGTTGATTTTCATGAGTGAAGTGGTTTATATTATACCACTCCTCGGACCAACGTCGTTTCCTCTAACTTGTTTTTTCCGCTTGAGGAAAACAATGTTAAGGCAACAAAGATCAAATGTGTATTGTATATTTCACGATACTTCACGACAGACACTCCTTCCGAGTCAAAAGAAAATCAATTGAGAATGAGTTTTGATCAAAAGATTGAAGGTTGATTGAAGCGTGCGTCAATCGAATGTCTGAACCGTTTGATCAAGCAGGTTGCTTGTGTAGGGCCCGTTCTAGAGCTTGTCCCGGCTAGGAAGGAGCGCTGCCAGTGGGAGATGCCTGGTTGAGGAAAACTCCAGCAGCCGACGAGTAGGTTGATGGCGAATCTCGCCTTCCAGCGGTGGAAGATCACCACCAACAACTGCGATAAAACAGGCACTGCACTTACAGGACTAATAACCTTTGCAATTGAGGCACCCGGGATCCCTAATCAATCTTTCGGAGAAACCACGGAAAACTGCCGATGAGGGAAGCCGGCCGCATGAAATCTCTTGTGGACAGCAGCAGAAATTGACAAGGTTATCTAGCTAAAGTCGAAAATTCGCCACAGTCGCGACTCGAATCCTAGGATGTCTCGGTCAGTAACAGTGCAGTGGCAACAGTTGCTGCCCTGAGATACTCAGTCGGTCCGTTTATACGAGGCCGGGGCTTATTAGAACACTTGTGTTATAACAATTTTTTTGACGTTTAGGTAATCAAAGGAGATAGAATGTTTTACATTACCACAAAATTAGCTTCACCAACTGTTTTTTTTCTTTAAAAAAATGAATACTCCTAATTCCTGTCTTTGAGGGAGATTTGGAACTCGCCCGTAGTATCTCTTAGTTGTGTGTTAGTATTCATAGAGCATTTTGATATTTATGATGGTAATACTGGAAAACTGATCCAACAGCGCCATCATTGGCGAGAGTCTTTTGTTCCGAGTTCAGATTGAGCTCAGTCGTCAAGTACATTTCAATCTAACAATAAAGATCAAAATATTAAGCAAAAGGCAGTTTTAAATTTCATTTCAAGACATCATCATTAACATTGTGAAAATATATCGATATGAGATATATTTGAGTTTTGTACGACGGCTAAATACAGAAATAAATATTTATTGATTATTTTTATTAACACGAATTACCGAATTGTTAATAGAATTTATTGAATATTCGTTCATTGCAATCAAAAGAAATCACTCGTGTGTGTGGTCTTTTTTCTCTTCTCTGCGGTTCCCATTACTGTTAGAAAACCCAGAATTATAAAACTAATTTATTTAATAAATATTACTGTATGAAAATATATCAATTGGAGATTTGCATACAGTAAAGGAATTTTACGATTTTGTATTTTGAACACAATGCTATAAAATGGTCGTAATTGAATAAATGATGTTTGTGTATTTTACGATAAATATCTTCCAAAAGACACATTTCATTAGAATTTTTTTTGGCTTTGCAAATGACCTTTGCGATGTGGTACTACCTTTAGCCGCCTATCTATACAAAAAAAAAGCATCGTAAATGATCATAGATAAATTGGTAAAAATTGTGCAATGTTACATGAGGAAATCTGCCCGACAGCAAGAGCAAAATGATGACGTGGCATAGCGTCGATCGCGCCGACCGCAGGCGCCGTCCGTCGCGCAAAATGTACAACAGATTTTGAGGGGCAATACGGGACAAAAAGCACTTAACATTCTTCTGAAATGTGCAATGGGAAAAGTATGAAAATACGGTAGGAAAACGTGTGACGAAGTAGTGTGAATTAATTGGAGGGTAGGGAAAGTGCCGATACGCTAGTCCTCGGCGAGCGCCGAGGGAGGGTCGGTAGGGGCGGTTGCTGGCGGGAGGGGCGCCGGCGGCGGCGGCGCCGGCGGCGGGGTGGCTGCCGGGGTAGGGGTGCCGGGAGGGTGAAGGGGAGGGGAAGGCGAGAGCGTGGCGAGGGGCGGCAGTTGGCCGGCGCGAGACGCGCACACGGCGCGAGTGCAGTGTTGGATGCGGTATCGCGGGCTGGCCGGCTGGGCAGGCGCCGCGCCGCGCGCGCCGGGCATGCACGCCAAGGCCCCGTCTCCCTCCGCAGCGTCAGCCACGCTCTTCGCCATGGAAGCGCTAGGAGACTGGATTTTCGACGGGCCTATTATTTTTCCAGAGTTCGGGATATTCTATGCCCCGCCATCATCTTCCACGGTACGTAGTCGTGTTCATTACTTAATAAAATGGTGTGTGACACGTGAAAATAGTGACTGTGTCCAATGAGTATGAGATAATATAAAGATTTATTGTAGATTTTGATTGCATTTCTAAGAAGGCCATGGGTCTACATTTTATACCCTGATATTTTCAGCTTAGGTTGTCAGAATCTCTTGTAGTATAAAGGTAATTTTCGTTTGAATTGATTTTAAGTGTTTGGTGCCGAATGGTATGAACTCTTGTAACCTCCATCATAAGAACCCTGATTTACTTCGTGTTTTGTTTGAATGTTTAATGTGACTTATCGCAGTACACAAGACTATGGCTATGAAACTATAGAGATAATTTCTTGCAGTCTTTCGGAAATATGGTTGTCGATTGCGACTGCGGGGTGTGTGGGGAGAGCGCAGCGAGGGGCGGCCTAGTTTCAGCAGTGGTGGGCGGGCCACGTGGCGTTCGTCTGCCATATTGCTAACCTCATGGGCACACCTGATGCTAAGTTCTCCTACGCCCTCCAGAGGTTTATTTTAAAGGAGAGGAAGTAAATCACCGGGAAAAGATTTCATGAATCATAACATTCAAAATGTACCGAGATTATTCAAATAACTTGAAACATACTTCGAAACGGTGACATATTGTACGATGTTTGCCGAACCTAACCTACACGGCACCTTCATCCATCGGTATTAATTGAGCTAAAAAAGCCCGAATGTTGTAACAATTTTCGAATTTTTTTAAATTAAGTTCATAATGGTGATCAACAAGTGGGGTTTTTAGTAACAAAACAAATGTAGTTGTACGTAGTGGCGTCGCCTGGTCAGTACAATGCGATCATCACGTAACGGATTAAACTTTTTCCAGTTATCTAGGCTGAATGGTAATGGCATTGTATTCTTCCTATCGAGTTTTCTATACTGGAATGTACATTCCTACTCATGTGCTTTGAGAATTGAGAATTTTGAATTGCTTACACTGGCAGTCATGAAAAAATAAGAGAATAAAAAATAATGAATACGAAAAATACGTGTGATCCAAAATATGTTTTAATAGGAGTCCTATGTGCCGCTATTTTATAGCATATATATATATATATATATATATATATATATATATATATATATATACACTAAATTGGGTTTTTAGATCTATCTAATGCTGTTAGTTTTCCACACTATTTACTGCCACACACGTCTTATGCGTTACAGTTCGAAACTATGATTTTTCTTAGTGGAAGCATCTGTTAGTTGTATGTTGTAACAGTTTCAAGAAAAAATTATCTTCGCAACAAAAACATATGTGAAAATCGGATAGGACGTCTATTATTTCTAGCAGGTTGTTAGGACTGATGACCCACGTCTCGCGTCCTCCTACGTCGATGTACTGTATCGGAATGAAATTTGCAGAGTGTCACTTGGAATACTTAGACAGGCGCAGGGGCTGTGAGGCCCACAGCTGTTTGCATGTGACCGTCGGGATTCCCGGGATTGATGCCCAGCGGCTCTTGAGGAAGATGAGAGAAAAGCGTTTTTAGGGGGAAGGGGATACAGAAGCTCCAATTGCGTGTTGCGATAGCCGAATTGCATAAACAGAAACGTGTACAGAACCTGCACACAGCACATGGCTTGTTGGATCAGAGACCTCGATAACTAAACGAGGCGTCCAAGGGATAGATCTCGGGCTGTCACATAGTTATCGACAGTTAACACAGTAACAGGTTCAGTGGGAATAATAAAGGTTCCAAATTCGGTTGGCTTTATTTATAAAATCACATCTGCCATATACTGTCATTTTATTGTATTTTTGTTATTTCAGGAAACTGCACTTTGTTATAATGATTTTAATGAGTTTTAAATCAAATGGCTACTTTTTAAATCGACATTTTATAAATAAAGTAACTTAAATTTTGGAAGGATTTTACTATTATTGCAACTGTGAACTTGCTTGTGCATGATTGTCAATAACTCAATCGAATAAGGAACAATCTAATAAAAGAAGTTCCATCAATTTCTCTTTGAGAGACTCGTGTAATAGACGATATCAAGATTGAATCAATCAAGCAAGAATCATCCAAATAAATTAATGACTATTACTCCAAACTTGTTTGGCAAAGTGCAATATGCTAATAGCACAAACATAATGAATTTGTGGTCCGAGCAAATGCCTGTGCTTTCTAAGAGCGTGTAATAAAGGTTACCCCAGATAAGGTGGTAGAAAGTCCCCCTAAACCAAATGACATCCTTGTAGTTACGCTATAATTGCAACATAAGAAACCTTTCAAAAGCCTTATTTTTACGTCCGTCCCTACACTCTCAGCCCTCTAGAGCCAGAAAGATTTTTATTAATATTTTTTTCGTCAACTTAACACAATTTTATCTGATTTTTTTTTTAAATGTGAAAACAAAGCTTCTGCAGAACTATGTTTTCGGCCCAGAAGCTGCAAGCTCTGAGGATGATCGCTACACGATCGAAATGATCATTAGTTGAATTAAAATATTGATACCTGACAATATCTCTATTTATTTATCAAAAATTTAAACCATCTTAAAAACATTTTTAGATTTTCTCGGCGCAAAATTCAGACGGAAAAATATTTTTGAAACATTTTTAGAAAATGTTACGGTCCTAGAACTCTAGAACAGGTTCGAAAATAATTTATAAGGTTCCTCTTAAAACAGGCATTCTTGGTCGCTAATGACATAGTAGTTGATGCGACCTTAAATAACAAAAAAAGGCATTCTTGTGTAATTTTTTAAGCTTTTTTCCACTGTTTCACCAATGTTTTGATTTTGTAATGTAGTTACACATCATGTTTTAAAGCTTTGTAATCATTTGTATAAGTACATCATTAAGGAACTATCAGACAAATCTACAGGACATTCCGCAAAACTAACTCTTCCCTTCCACATCAACCTTACATAAAGCAACCGCCATACTTACTTAATTGTTTAGGGACTCTTAGTTACGGCTTACGTTGAACCGCAGTAGGATTCAACATCTTTATTCCCCTAAGCAATGGAAGCATTACAGCCTAAGATGTCCAAAGGTCTTTTTTTCGCTGGATATTGGTATGCTTGATAAAGAGATGTCAGCCTGTCTCAACTCCCCCTGAAACATGCGGGAAACAAGTGTCCGTGAAGTTGACACCACCACCACCACCACCACCACCACCACCACCACAACCAAAGCCACGGAAACCATTACCATTCGTTTGTACCTGGTTTGTGCACATTTGTACCACAAAAACATTCGTCTGTACCAAAACTACTTAAAAGATACAGTACTTTTTATTGTGGTGGTGCCAACTTTACACTGGCACCACCACCATTGTAAAATCATTTGAAAACATTATAAATCGTTTGCATTTCGTTTGTACCGGATAGTTCCACCAGAATTTGTTTGTACCAAAAACTGAGAATACAGCCATTTAATGAGGCGGCGGGAGGTGAACCGGAAATGTACCACCATTCTCGTCACAGCAACCGTAGAAAATAGTATAATCATACTCAATCGATTGTACCTGGTTTGTACCAGAAGGTCCACCAGAATTTTTGCACCAGAAAACTAATGAAGATACAGCCATTTTAATGAGGCGGCGGGGCGTGAACCGGAACTCTACCTCCGTTCTCGTCAAAGCAACCGTAGAAAATTGTGAAATCATGCTCAATCGATTACACCTGGTTTGTACCGCACAGTTCCAACCGAAACGTTCACCTCAGAATTTCTGAATTGTTAGATTTCTTCGCTCATACATATATTATCAGCCGTGTGAGTACTATGTAATGCAATGTTCCTGTGACATGTCTCGGCACCTATGCAATTTCGGCCGATTTCGCGATAAATAAAGCCAGAGATTTTCTTTTAAAGAACAATGTAAACCCGAAGTTTGCTAGCTGAGTTTACTTGAACAAAAGGTAGAAGTCTCGATTACATCAGTAACATAGTATCCACTTGCTTAACTTGATTATCTGAAGTGGTTTTGATAATTTTTTAGTTTTTCTTTCCTTTAGGGAATTTTTAAAGCATTTTATTTATAATTTTTAGCATTATTTTAGTTCATCAAAATCCACCCCTTCTCAAGACAATACACGACCTCCTCGCAACTACTGGCTGCGGAAAATTTTTTAAAAAAGGAAAAAAACGTGTAATTTTTGTAGGTTTGAACGGAGTGTTAAGGTTGTTCGCTGTGGTGGCGGTGAAAACTTCACGGACATGTATTTATTACTCAAAGGTGAAAATATTAGTATTAATACTTTTTGGCTCAGAATTGCTTTCCTCGAGGTACGTAAGAACGCAGAAAAAATTCAAATACCTTTTAGTAAACAAATAAGGTAAGTTTTCAATTTTCGCACTCCAAGTTAGCGCTCTGCCTCTGTTCCTCATAACAAATCCAGGAAAGTTAAATAATATTACAAAGAGTAGGTTTTTACTTGCCCTGTGTAGAAAATTTTATTTGGTTTTTTCAAGAGTAAAATAGTTTTCTAATGTTTTTGTGGCTATCGAGCAAAACAAAAAGCTTGCTGTCAAGGAACTTCAAATGATTTTAAGTGTGAATTGTTCGAACAACATATGTCGATAATACTGAATATACCTTTAATGAAAATTTCTTTCGAACATCAATTGCATTGTTTGCTTTTTTGTTTGATATGGTTAGTACGAAGTTACATTTATACAATTTTAACAAATACGTTTCATTAACAACTTTCCTTCTAAATTGAAAGTATAGGGAAAGGGTGGGAAGTAATGAGAGATCTCGCACGGTTACGATAGTTTTTATTTTTATTTTTATTTTTATTTTTATTATTATTATTATTATTATTATTATTATTATTATTATCATTATTATTATCATTATTATTATTATTATTATCATTATTATTATCATTATTATTATCATTATTATTATTATTATCATTATTATTATCATCATTATCATTATTATCATCATTATCATTATTATCATCATTATCATTATTATCATCATCATCATTATCAAAAGT